GTCGTGGCGACGTGCCGACCAAAATGTTTGTTAAGTTTTAGATATTTTCTTCCCTAAGGGCAATTTGACCATTCTACCCCTAATTAGTAGGAAAAGTGGGGAGTAAAATGTAAGGATTTTTCATGGAGAATATGTTAATATAGGGGTGTGTTTGTAATGAATTAAAAGATATAGATGAAATTCCCAAGGAAGAGTAAGGGCAAAATGGGAATGCTTGTGCATAAATTGTATTAAAAGGAATTAAGTCATTGCAAACCCTTCATTCTTCTTCTCCACCGCCACTCTCCTTTCTTACTTCCTCTCAAATTCTCTTTCATTTGTTCAAGGATTTTTAGAGGGCAGAGAAAAGTCAAGCAAACCAAGAGAAAGGAAGTGTTAGTGAGATCTCTCTATCACAAGGTAAGTAAATCCCAACCCAAGTAGAGATTTGAGAACTTTCTTGAATAGAGAGTTAATAGCAATTATGTATGTATGTATATACATGTGATATGCTATGTTATTAAGATTTAAATGGAGATGATTATTGCTTTGTGGTTGTTTATACACTTCAATTATGAGAAGTGAGAGGTGGGTTGGGAATGTGGTTTGAGGTGAAATTGAAGGATATTGAGAAATCCTTTTTAGAAGTGTTATTTTATGGCAGGATTTATAGCTATGTGAGGGAGATTTCTCCCATTTTGGATGGTTAGACAGAGAAATATAGCTATTGTTATAGTAGAGTCTTTATATGCACTTGAGTTGTTTGATGAAATGCCTAAGAGAGGGTTGAGTATGAGTAGTGAACCTTAATTCTTGCAACATGGCATCTTGACATTTCATAAGTGCATTGGTAGTGGTGAACTATCCATGTGCATTAATTTGTGCATTGAGAAGTGACTCAAGAAAGAGTAGAAAACTTTGTGAATGCACTTGCTCTATGAGTAGAGAACTTTGTGAATGAACTACTCTAAGAGTAGAGAGAATGAGAAGTGCTAGAATAGAGTGAATAAAAAACGGGTTGATGCTTTGTGATCGTTACCCGATAGCTACGAGAAGCGGGTTGATGCTTTGTGATCGTCACCCGATAGTTATAGAAAACGGGTTGACGCTTTGTGATCGTCACCCCGATAGCTATGAGAAATGGGTAGGTGCTTTGTGGTCTCCACCCGATAGTTATGAGAATCGAGAAGGTGCTTTGTGATCCCCACTCGGTAGTCACTAAGAGCGGGTTGGCGCTGTGTGAACTCCACCCGACAGTCATGAAAAGTGAGATGGTGCTGTGTGAACTCCATCCGGCCGTGCCTCCGGTAAGATGAGGCCATGACATTTAGAAAAAAAAAAAAAAGAAAGAAAGCTGTGTGAAAGAGAAACAGAAATAGAAAGTGTGAGGAAAGAATTAAGAGAAATGGTTATGGGGATAGACAAGTAGAGGGTTTACTTACTGAACATTATTTTGTGCTCACCCCGTTATTTTTCTTTGTGGATGCAGGATCTAGGTGATGATGCAGTCGGAGGGGCATCGGCAAGCGAGGAGCAATAGCTACACTGTTTCCCCTGTTTTTGTCTTTTTAAATGACATTTTGTAAATGATGCTCTTTGTGTATAATAGACTTATTACTTATAATAAGAAGGAAATTTTTGGGCCCATTTTCTATTTTTATTATGCATGCATTTTACTAGTTTACAACAGTTGTTACATGAGACGAGATACCCTACACATGATTTAGAGTTGGCAGCTGTAGTCTTTGCATTAAAGATATGGAGGCATTACCTATATGGTGCAAAGAGTAATATCTACACCGACCACAAGAGTTTGAAGTATTTCTTTACTCAGAGGGATCTGAATATGAGACAGAGGAGAGTACCCAAAATCTATGAATTTCCCTTGAAGAAGAATTGAAGAAATTGAGAGGATTTGAAGGTGAAGGTGGCGTGAAAATGGATGAAGAATGGCTAGGGTTTGATTCTTCAATTCTTGATATAACATATTATTATTTATAGTTTTTCATTTTGCCCTTACACTTTTTATGAAATTCCATCTATGTCCCTTAGTCAACTACCAAAATGCCCTTATTTTTATTAACTTCTCTATGTTATTCTATCTCTTTTCACTCCTCACTTTTTCAACTAATTATGAGTGAAAATATCATTTTACCCCTAATGAAATTTTAAGACATTTTCTTCACACTTTTTTCAAAATAACTTTAACAAAAATCAACTAAGGGTAAAAGGGCATAAGTAAAACTACGTACCTCAATATGAGCGTTACATTGTGAGGAAGCACCCATAGACGTAGAGTGTTGCGTAGACCCAGATGATGACATTCTCTATCTTTATCTCTTCCTTGGCAACCAACAAGCAATCATACTGTTAGATTCAATTTAGTATTTTGCAAATATTTTACAAATATTCTACAAACTTAGTATTATGAAAATATTCTACAAACTTAGTATGCTACAAACTTAGTATTCTATAAACTTAGTATGCTACAAACTTAGTAGTTTGCAAACTTAGTATTCTACAAATATTCTACAAACTTAGAATTTCTAACCAAACTTTAGTACTCTGCAAATATAACTCTGTTTGAAACTTTGCAGTGAAAATATGAAGCTTGAGAAGTTAGAAACTACATATTTAAACATTAAGTAGCATAACAAAATGCTAGAATCTGAATATAACAAAATGCATCCAAAGTACAAGATTCTAAATTAGCATAACAAAATGCATATAACTTTGTGCCTGATAGATTCTGAATGTCTATTTGGACGTTGACGGCCAAGAAATGGCTGTCATCAACAACTAGATGTGGCCAGATCTAGTCGTCAACGGCCAGTTCAAAAGGCCAGATTGGCGCACAATCAGCCAGATCCAGTCGGTCATGCAAGCCATTCCGACAGATTTCGGCCACCTTCCGTTGGTGGTAGCCGGCTGCCAACAATAAGTGGGTGGGTGGGGGTGTTTTTGTTAATTTATAAATTTTTATTGTTGAGGGTGTTTAGTTAAATTAACAAACCTAAGAAGTTAAAATAATCTAAATATTTTGAGTTGAATAAAATATGATTGAATTTTGAGAATATTAAAACAAATGCATTTTTAGGTTTTTAGGATATGATAGTGGAATATGACATGATAATAAAAGTGTGCCAATCGGACCTGATAATATCTACATTACCACAAAAGAAAATTATATAACAATCTCTAGCATTCCCTACCTGAAGCTCAAAATGAGAATTCCTGAGGTATTTCTTGAAACCTGGAGTCGAGAAAGGTCTTATATTTTTCTTGAAGATTCCCGCCTTAGAATAATTCATTAATTTCATGAGCAACATAGCAGTGTCTTAGTAAAAAGATCTGATCTTAAGAACATGAAGGTTAAAGGGAAGGGTTGTGGAGCTACCTTTAGGTTCAAATGGTGGAATATTCTTTGAAAGAGTTGATTGTGCCAAAGCCTGAAGATCCTTGCCTAGAAAAGCGACAAATGGAAAAATTGTCAAAAAGATAAACCCTTAAAATAGTAAAATATATCCAACTACAAGAACTTCATGATTCTAGTAAAACAATCCCCAATGAGATATAGATGAATAGAAAAGAAATCGAATAAGTCAAGCAATATTCACAGGAAGAAACTATGTATTTCACTTGGATTATAAAACAAGCCCCACAAGACGCATCTCACAACTAAAATACAGAATCTATCTCGCATAAACTGCAGTGAAGATTGAAAACTTGAGAATTTTGTAGTCTTTGCATCAGGGAAACGAAAAGGGTGGAGATAGAACTTAACAATTTCCTTACTTCAGGTAGATTCTAAATGTATGCAAACAGGTTCCCTCCCAAGTCCATGCCTGATAGTACTCCAGAAAATTAAAATCCTCAGGTCACTCTCAAGCATTGAAAAATGAAGAATAGCAGCCACACCACGCGAGCTTGCACCAGAAGTTCAAGGGAAAAATGAACTTACATGTAGATCACACTTGAATTGATACAACTATTTCCTTCCCAAGAACTGCCGCAAGGATCATCACCAACCCAGTTTGTCTGAAGCTTCTGCCACTGATCCTTGAGAGAATTTAGAGCAGCAACTGAACTCTTTTAACTTCAGATATATCTACTTGAAAAAAAANTTACTTTGAAACCCTGCTTAGCAGCATGTGTAATCCAACCAGAAAAGCCAACCTTCAATTTCTCAAACTCAAAATACTGTTTCAATATGATGATTAACTTATAAAACTTCAACGGATATTCAATGTTGTTTTATATATACATATCTCTTGCATGTTAAAAGAATTTATAATTTATAATCCATGAAGAACATTATAAATTTATGAAACCATCAAGCACATGCAATTTTATTAGCTTCTTCTATCTGAAAGGAGAAATGGAATATTATAACAAAGAATATCCCAAGAATTTTTTTATTTTTTTATTTAGACAAACATTTTAAAAGTTTAAAATTGTTCTCCTTTATGTCAAGAAATTAAAGCTGAAAAATATCCGAGACTTCCATGAACCATGGAAAAGCATAAACCATATGCAATGTTTTTGTTTAAATAACTATAAAAAAAAATGTAATATTACAGAATAGTGAGAAATATCTTGAATAAACACCACAGTGATAGCAAACACATTAGAGCTAACTAATGTTGTGTTGCTAAAAGATCTGCTGCGAAAATTTAAGCCATGAATAACTCTCAAGAAATCCAACAGTTACTATATGCTATAATTTACATGCAATAGTGCTTCTGTACAACATACATCAATATGTAGATCCTAATTCCTAACTAATTAATAATTCTATTTGATATTCACAATCAGCTTACTGTAGTTTTACCCACTCTTTGAAATAAAATTTGTTTCCAGTTTGGATTACCAAGAAAAAGTACAAATGTTTATGTGGCTTTGTTACCTATCACAGGACGCAAAGATAAGAACAACATCAAATATAATTTATTTTTAATAAAAATGGAAACTGGAAATTTAGTTAAAGCAACTAAAGTTTTGGTAACATTAATCTGAACAGTCAAAGGTAAGTTTTTGAAGCATTGCAATTGATTCAAATAATATAATATGCATCTACAGAGCACGAAACATCTTGCTTGGCAGAGCCTAAAAAGGAATGCTATACTCCAATGCATATTACTGTCGAAAGAAATGGGATGTGAGTGGTATGGTTACCAATCAGATGATGCAAAGACAACAGCAGCTGGCAATTTGAATATATCTGGCCCACCAGAATTTCCAGTTTGGAACAAGGGAGCAATGCCTTGAGAGGAAAGTATTACACCAGCATCTGCAGACACCAAAACATTGGCACAACTCTGAATGGTATCTTCAGGTGCAAATAGAAGTATCACAGAGTCAGCCAACACTAGTAGCCTGTTTGCATCCTTCACATATAAATTTCAGATCACATGTCAAAATTTTAACACAATAATGATGAAGATTAAAATATCTTACCTTCCAGAAAGAAGAAGGCCTCCACGTGCACATATAATAGGTCCAGACAGGGCAGTTAACGCTTCTTTGATTCCATTTGTGTCAGCAAAAGCTTGACCACATAAAATGAGTGAAGAACGCTCAATATCAGCAGTTATAAATCCATTACTTCCTTGAGCTCCAAAAGCAACTGCATCCATGACACCAACACTGTAGCCAAAAATAAAAAAATGGAATAACACTATTGATCAGTGTCTATAATCATGTTTTAATTATCAAACACCAGAGCTCACAGCGCCTACCATTACTATCCTGGCAGAGGCATATTGATGAAGAATAGCCAAAGAGTGTAATTAATAGTTCCATCTATTGTGTAGTCTAAATAGGTCACTGGAAAAGATTCAAGATAGAATTCGTTTGAAATATTATCAGCCAATTCTTGAGGGCAGGTAATATTGTCCTCGTAAACAAGCAAGTACTCTGAAATTTGTAGGTTATATGAGTGTTCAACACATTTTGTAATAGTTCCATGTACTCCATTTTGGACAAGAAATTACCTCTAATATAAACGCTGTATTTAAAGAATGAAGACACGGGGCTATCATTTAGAAGATCCACCTCATCAATCCCTACTTCCATTAAAAAATGCCTAGAAGTACTAAGGGTAAAAGGACCCAGGCCAAGCAGTGTCTCTACACAGGTGAATCAACATGTTTACAGAGTGGAAATTCCACCTCTCTAAATTATTTTTCTCTCTCTAAATTCTCTCTCTCAAGGGCAACCCACACTGCTTACAAAGTACCTAGCCCAATACTTTCCAAAGTAGTTAGGCACATCAAAACACTCACTAAAGGCAAAAAAGGTATGTTCATAGATGTAAAGAGCTCCATACTTTTAGTAGATAACATCTACAAGGGGGAGTACATCAATGACCAAATAAAAATCAACTATACCTTATAGATGTGGCAACATAAACTGTCAAAGGACAAGAATCATGGGAAACAGCCCGAGTAGGTGTCTTCAAGAGAATGCTTGAAAATTTCAACATGGCAGAAGGATTATCACTTATCACACGAACTTTTGCATCACATTCTGATGACGAACCAATTGCCCCGTCTTGAACAAAAACATTTGAGATGGATGACAAATGAGTCGTGACCTGTTAAAATAAAAACAAAATTTAAAAAAAAACCAGAGTCAAATGAATCAGAGATTATATGTGGATAAATATATAACACGGATGTAAGCATTAGAAAATGTTGCTATGAAACAGGTTGAAAGGAAAAAAAAAAAAAAAAAAAACTTTGTAAAGTATTTTTAACATCCAATACTTGCCCAAATTATGACAACATCGTTCATCAAAGTTCTTTAATGTAGCCAAAGTATTCTACTTATTTTTCCTATGTTTCTTCAGGGCTTCTTATCCATGTTCATCTACCACACCACTGTTGACACACTTCCAATACAAAACAGAATAAGGATTCAACCCATTCAGATTAAGTTCCTCCTCTAATCTCTCATAAATGCCTAGCCATGAAATAATATAGTGCAGAAAGCTCAGTCAATACATGCCTGTTTCAGTAGTTTAGTGTAGTGTCCCTTAGAAATATCAAGAATTCCTCCACGTACACTTCCTCTAACAAGAAGAGGAAGTCCTGATAAGGATGCTAGCAAAAAGAGGAGGAAAAATCAGACAGACAAACTAAAAGAAACAAAATTGAATTAGCATGAGTTCAGTTGATATATCACCTACAATTGTTGCACCTTTCTGCTGTAGCTCAGATGATGTCAAATTTTGAAAAGCTTTATCCTTCACAATAACACCTTTTCCAGCCAGAGCCCAGTTAAGACCATAAGAAAATCCAAGATTTCCCTGTTTTAAAGGAAATGCAAGGAATAGCTAAGAGAAGAACAACTCTTATTAAGTACAAACTACATAGTAAGCTGCATAGTGTTTTTGCATCATATGCTATTACTTATATCCTAATAATTGATAAAGCAAATGATAAGATATGAATCAGATACAAATTCATCACAAAGTTAATGAATCATTTACCCAAAACAAAAACACTAGTACTTGATATTGCTTAATAAAACACCAACATTGAAATTAGTTTTTATTTTTCTGATAGGAAACAAAATGTCCATAATACTGCAGATAAAACTGAAATCCTTTACAAAACTTTTGCATTGAAATGTTTTAATAGGTTCTATAATCATTAATTGGGTGTAAGGGTAATTTACTAAATTTGTCTATAGACAATACTATATATATAAGGAGGCTAAGTAAACCTTAAACTCTAATCCTAATTGTGGAATATACTCCACTTTTCTTCTTCTCTCTTCTCTTTCTGACCTAAAGCCCAAAATTTTGGCTATCTGTTTAATATCCACCAGGAAACGATGTCTAAAGATGCCAATCAAACGTATATCCACTAGGCTTATAGATCATATACAGAACCCTAATAATGACTGCTGTTAATGTCTTGCCATCAAAAACATTTATTTTGTCTGACCCTTCATTTTGAAGACAGGTTCTTGAGTGCAACCCCTAATGTAAGTAAAATCAAAATTAATTTATGTAACCTAGTTGCAGTCTCAAACGCTGGTTCAACAACTAACCAGTAATAGAAATATCTTCACCCTCAGTTTCCACAGAGCATTAGAACCATGCTAAACTTCCAGGTTTCACACTTCACTATGGGCTAACTTCAAGATGGCTTGTGTTTCGACAAAAGTAACAGCTCCAACACTACCATCCTCCCTCTCCGAAAGCAAAACCCAAAAAAAATAAATAAATAAATTATATATATAGCTAAATAAAATGATTGCAAAAATGGCCAAAGATGATCTCATTGATGTTGCACACCATCTTAGATAGTCAAAATTTCCCATAGCTTAATAGTTGTCATGGTGAAGAAAATGATGATTTTTAATAACAACGAATCCCTAAGTTCCATCTAAAGACAATATAACCATGAGGTTTTAGACACAAAAACCCTAATGTTAATAAGTCATTTTAAAAAAGCAATTACCTAACACGTGGAGACATATGTAGAGCAATGAAAGGTCATACTCGTCCTTTGGAATAACTTCCACATATTCGATTCTTTTTCCCCTCCATTCTATTTAATTTCTTTCTCATTTCACTTTCCCAAGTTCACTCCAACAATATTGTGGAAGTCAACACAATGCTAATATGGTGAATGACAAAGAGAAAAAGACAATTGAAGAAACAAATTCAAGAGAAATACAAAGGGGGAGAAAGAGCAAGTGAGAAATAAGAGGGCGAAAGAGAACCAGGTGGGAGAGAAAGAGAAGGAAATGACAAGAGCATATATAACCTTTTGTTGCCTTTTAACATGTCTCAAATTGCTTGCTAATATGGTATATAAGAAAGAGAAAAAGACAATTGAAGAAAGAAATTAAAGAGAAATACAAAGGGGGAAGATAAGGAGAGCGAGAAAAAAGAAGGCGAAAGAAAACCAGGTGGGAGAGAAAGAGTGGGAAATGACAAGAGCATCTATAACTTTTTGTTGCCTTTTGACATGTCTCAAATTGCAAGCACTTACTTTTTCAAGGTTGGTTGTGTTATTTCTGAAACTCAAGGTTTTGATTCTATTTAAAGCAAACCTTAGGAGATCCATGCAATCATCCCTGACTATAATGATAGGTCAGCTTTTGTCTATTAACCAAGACAAAGATTTTTGTAACTGATCACAGTTCAAGATGAAGAGGCAGTAGGAAATCTAGAAAATGTTCTGCTTAATGATAACATTCTGGTTTTTTTTTTTTTTTTTTTTTCTTTTACATTCCACAGTGAAACATAAGACCACTGAGTATCATGAAAACAATATGGCAGGCAGAGTGGTAGTTTCAGTGAACACAGACACAAAGAATCTAATTGAAATTAGTAACATTGCAAACAAATATAAAAGCCAGTAAAGTTCAGAAATAAATTTTTTCAGTACTTTTAGTGTCGTCAAATAAACATTCACCTAGAAAACATGACTGTTTCAACTTCCACCTCAAAGTACAGGGCTGAAACGCATTCTGCAGAAGTCCATAAATTAAGGATACTATTAGATCATTCTTGGGATAGAATACTGTTCTGATTAAGTTTCCTTATATGTTGAAAAGAAAAGGCCACTTTAAGTAAAACTACATAGTGAATGCAGCAGTCGAATGATACAGCAGTGAGACACCTTACACCCAGCAAGATAAGCACCAAACACACATTTTATTCAAGAAAATTCTATCACACTGCAATCCCAGATATTGCTTAAGAGATTCAAAATTAGCAAATAATGAATTTACTGAAACAACATAAAATAATCACAATGTGTACAAGCTGTAGCCGGCAACTTAATTATCAAAAGCTCAAAGATGACCATGATTAAATATGTCATAGTAAATAACAAAACTAATTCACTCTTCTATCTGAATAAGCTATGCACATATATATTCACAATAAGTTGGATAGAAGTAATATTAAGGCCAAAAAGGAAATAAGTAATTAAACACAGGAACCTATTTTGCTGCTTAAATACTTTTCTCTTTCTGTTAGCCCATGTTTCAAAGTTCTGCGTCATGCTAGGACATATGGCTCCATCACTATTGGTACTTTCCAAGACAAAAAACTAGCCCAGGCAATCTCCTTCAGAAAACATAGTCTCTACAAACATAATGTTTCCTTCGCATGCCATGTTGCCTATACCAAAAAATCTCTCAACACACCTCAGCCAAATTTATCAAAATTTCATTTGGTAGCAAACATAAATTATGTATGCCAATGAATTATTTAACGGATTTTTGAGCAATATTTTGTTTAAGCTTAGTAAATTTGTTCATTGCAGTCCATAAACTACTATATCCTAACCAATAATGTATAACCAGGCACTCAAATTATATATACCAGTTAAATGTTGTCTTTAAAATTTTTCTATGCTGCTTTACTTTCAATTTTTTTTCCACATGATTCTAAAAGGAAATGATCCCATTTTTTTTAATTTTACTAACCATCTAAAATCAAAAGTATTCTTTTCTTTTTCGATTGTTGCACCCATGACCCATCAATCAAAAAGCACAAATAGTGAAAAATATAAATAACGAAAAAGAGAGAGAAGTTACGCGTTGAGAGGAGAGCAAGAAAGGCGTGTTGCGTCTTGAAGATGCAAGAGAGAATGAGGTCTCCATTAATTGCTTCAACACCACCTTCTTCATTTTCTTTCTCAGTAGCCACTACAACTCCACATTGCAGCTCGGGCGCAGCGAAAAATACAAGCAGAGAGACATTGAAGCTAAAAATACCACGTGGACAAACCATGGGCTCCAAGACCCATACCTGATATCAACGGGCCCATTAATTGGCCCGTGGCAAATTCTCGGTTTAGATAATAGTAATAGATTAAAAGAACAATAATTGGTGCGTTTGGTTTATTGTTTTTATCCATATTCTGGATCTTATTTTTTAAATGTTGTTTAGCACGTTATTTCCAAAATATTAGTCTATTTTTTTAATTACTTTTAGATCCTATAAGTTTATTAATTTCATTAAATACCTCCCAGAAAAAAGTTTAAAAACTAACAAAAACACCCTCATCAGCCAATACTTGTCAGATTCCGGCAACCACCGCCGGTGGTAGTCGAAATCTATCAAAACAGTCATAAAACCACCGAAAATTGCCAGTAATGGCCAGATCTGGCCTTTTCTGGCTAGATCCATGGCGGATCTGGCCGGAAAAGGCTAGATCTAGCAGTCACCGATGGCCAAAGAAATGGCTGTCATTGACTTTCAACGACGGCCAAATCTTGGCCATCGTTGACAGACAACGACGGCCATATCTTTGGCCGTCAGATGGCCTTTTCCGGCCGTCGAAGGCCACATCCGGCCTTATATCTGGCATTTTCTGGCTAGATCCGTGGTGGATAAGGCCGAAAAATGCCATGTCGATCGAATACATCCAGATCCGACAGGTATGTGTGGCCATTTCCATTTTCCGATCAGATTCCGGCGGTGGTGGTCGGAATCTGAAACTGTGGGTGGTTAGGGTGTTTTTGTCATTTTACAATATTTTAATATATTAGGGTATTTATTAAATTAGCAAACCTTGGGGGCTTTTTCATAAATTTTTAAATTTTATCTCGTAATACTCCCCTATCCAATTATCCAATACTATCCCCAAAATCCTACTCAAAATAATAAACCAAACGCACCTAATGCTATTTGTAAAAGTTTCTTATAAAGAGATTTATGTACAAAACTGACATGGCACGTCACATAACATATCACATCAGAGTCATGTGGCATGTGGGCCATGTTACTTAATGCCTTAAAATTTAAAAAAAAAAATAAAAAAATTCAAACCCAAAATTTCCAAATCAAATTCCCTCCCAAATTTTACAATCCCTAAACCTGATTTTCTATTTCTTCTTCACCATTTTTCAATTTTCAATTTCTTCTTCTTCTCCATTGCTCCTATTTCTTCTTCTCCCTTTTTCAATTTTCTATTTCTTGTTCTTCTTCTCCATCGCTTTTTTCCATCTCTTCTCCATTTTTCATTTTTCATTTTTCATTTTTCTATTTATTCTTCTTCTTCTTCTTCTTCTCCAGTGCTCTTCTCCCTGCTGACAAACAAAACTCTAACCCTAACCATCGAAACCATTGAGAATCCAGCCCTGTCGTTTCAAAGCTTCTAAAATCTGACGGAGGAACCAAAAGAGAGAAGTGAACAGAGTGATCGCCATGGATTTTCCGAAATTCCATTGTTACCTCCACAGTGGCTCTTCGCCAGAAAAGCGTGAATCTTTCAATACAGACCTCAAGTCCTCTTTCAATTGAATTTATGTTCACTTTGATTCTAATTGTTCAATAGACAAGTTGAAAAGAGGTTATTACTAAAAGTCCTATTTCTTTTAATATTTGTATGATATATTTTATTGAAAGGAATTCAGTCATTGTCGCTATAATTTTTTCTTTGCCATGCATTAAATGGGAATTTGTTATCACTACCACTCATGGCAGTGGCATGCATTTTTTCTTCTCTTGGAGTCTACTTTAAATCTTAGATTGGTTTTGAGTCTTATTTTTTGAAACCTAGCTATAAGAGTAATGTTATCCTTACTAACGGAACTTACTAACCATCCTTACTAATTGACGTGGTAGAGCCACCTCATCTGCCACATCACCAACATGCCACATTACTTCCCTAAAACTTAAAAAAAAAAAAGAAAAAAAAAAATTTAAAATCAAATTGGAAATATACAATAAATCAAATTCCCTCCCAAATTGTTCCATCCCTAAATCATATTCTCTCCCAAATTTTATAAACCCTAACCACCAAAATTTCTCCTTGTCAGCCACCACCGTTGGATGGTAGCCGAAAGTCATCGGAATGGTGCATGACCAGTTGATCTGACCGGTGGATCCAATCGATCGTGCGCCAATCTTGCCGTTTTTGGCTAGATCTACAACCATATCTTAGCCATCGTCAATTGCCAGATCTTTGGCTGTAAATCTGACCAGAAAAGGTCAGATCGGCGCACGACCGCCCAGATTTAGCCAGTCGTGCACCATTTTGGTGACTTCCAAGCATCGTCCAACGGTGGTGGTCGACTGTCGGAAATAGTTGGGTGAGTAGGGGTGTTTGTTAATTTATAAACTTTTATTGTGGAAGGTGTTTAGTCAAATTAATAAATGTAAGGGGTTAAAAAATAATCTATATATTTTCAAAAAATATACCAAACATATTATCAGAATCTTATCATATTTGATTAAATCCTATTCAGAATATAACACTATTCTAAAAACATAAACAAAGGGAACAAGAGTTTCTGATAAAGAATTTGTACTTATTTTATCTAAATAGAATCATTATTGTTTTTATTTGGTTCAGTGATATGATAGTCAATTCTGTTTTATTAATATAGATTTACATTTTATTTATAGAATCTTAGTTTAAGTTATTCTTAATTTAATGTTCATGTATTAAATTTACTTATTTTGTAATTTCGTGACTTATTTACAACTATTAAATTTATTATACGATTTTTAAATTTATAATTTTCATATTCAAGACTATAAGTTTGATCTTACTTAACTTTAACTATAATGTTACGTGAGAAACAGTTCTACTTTAATTCTAATTAGAAAATAAAAATAAAAATTTAACTAGTTAAATTACACAATTTCCTTTTTTAACTTTAATTAAACCGCTGATTTTATCCTACGGTCTTATTTAAATCTCATTTTAAATGCCAGGTGTTTGATCTCAGTATTGCCACGTCACCTCTCACTTAAGCCTTTCCCTTTCTCTCCACTTCAAAAGAATCAAAACCTTCAAAGTTTCTCTATTTTATTACAAATTTTCTCTCAACTTTCTCACCTTCCAAACAATCCGAAGACATGTCAAACCAATCTCAAACTCAACGCTACCATATTGGCTACGCCTTCACTCCCGAAAAAGAGAAAACCTTCACCCAACCCTCTCTCCTCGCCTGCGCAACCCGACGTGGCATCGACTTAATTCGCATCGATCCAAACAAACCCTTGATCGAACAAGGACCGTTCGATTGCATCATCCACAAAATCTACGGTTCCGATTGGCCTCTCCAATTGCAACACTTCTCCTCCCAAAACCCTAATGTTCCAGTAATCGATTCCCCTCACTCAATTCAAAGACTCAACAACAGAATCTCAATGCTCAAAGTCGTCTCTCAACTGAAAATCAATTTCGAAAACGACACGTCGTTTGGCGTTCCGAAAGAGCTTGTCGTTTCCGATATGGTAAATTTCGCGCTGACATTAGACTTTCCGGTAATCGCTAAGCCGTTGTTGGCGGACGGGAGCGTGAAATCACACGAAATGTATCTGATTTTCGCCAACGAAGGGCTTGAGAAATTGAAATTGACGTCGCCGATTGTCTTGCAGGAGTTTGTGAACCACGGTGGGGTTGTGTTCAAAGTGTACGTTTTGGGTTCACATGTGGTATGCGTGAGGAGAAATTCGTTGCCCGATATCTCAGAGGAGAAGATGAAAACATTGAAGGGTTGTTTACCATTTTCGCAGATATCGAATTTGTGTGAGAATGAGCAAAAAAAGGGTGATGATAGTTGTGTTGAGATGCCGTCTGAGAATTTTGTCGTGGAATTGGCTAAGGCGTTGAGAGAAGAAATGGGGTTGAATCTTTTTAACTTTGATTTGATTAGGGATGGTGAGAGCTTTCTTGTCATCGATATTAATTATTTTCCTGGGTACGAGAAATTACCTGATTTTGAATCTGTTATGACGGATTTTTTGTTGGATGTTGTGGAGAAGAAGAATGTAGAGGTGGTCTAAGAGTGGAGATGAATGAATTTCAGGTGATATGATTTTTGGTGCTTAAAAAATGAAAACCTTTGTTGCTAATGTATAAAAGGAATCATCTAATGGACGAATGAGTAATACACCACTCTTTTAAACGTTAGGCTCACGTATCAATCACATAAATTTTTAATTATTTTAAATTTTTATTATTATAATAAAATTGGTGTGATTGTGACATATGTTATAATATAATAAAAATGATGTAAAAAAATGGTGTAAGTGGTGTATTATTCTGACGAATTAAAGTCTTATGTATTGATGGAGAATGGAAATAAATTGAAGTCTTTTAAATTTGTTATAATTCTTCATTTATTTCCTATAGTTTTAAAACCTCAATGTAGGTGAGGGATATTTTCAATTAATACAATTATTTCTAATATTTTATTTTAAGTAATAAAAACAAATTAATAAATCATAAGTAGTATTCTACTAAATCAAGAAATCTAATGGTCAAGATCAAGACTATCACTAAACCACGAAATCTAATGGTCGAGACTCAAAATTAAAGAATCATGGGAGTGAAGCGATGGTTTTAAGAGGGAATATAATTTGAAAGAGCATCTTAAAAAAAGACTTTTTATATGATCCGAATTCTTTATTATATAGAGTTTGTGTATAAAAATAAAAGTCTAATACTCTTTATTTTTTAAATATAAATTAAAGAGCAAGTTTAACTCTCTACATCTAGAAAGTCAAATTTCATTATCTATCCTAATTTTATTTAATAAATTACAAGTTTTTATGCATTTCATTATTAATTCTCTCTCCTATTTATGAAGTCTAATTTAAAGAATCAATTGGATTTGAATACAAATTTTATTCTTTATATTTATAAATTAACGAAGATGCTCTTTACTTATTTGAAATATGGTTTTTAAAGAATATTAAGAGAAATACTAATATTCAAAAAAAAAAAAAAAAAAAAAAAAAAAATCAAAGCCCAAAGGCCAGGCCCTCTAGTAACACAGCCTCTCTGCGGTGTAGGCTTTGGCAATCACCTCCTCAATAGATAAACCCTAAACCCTTCTTTCCTCAATTAATGAACTTGAAGTAAGGTATAACTTCATACCCATCTGCGTATCAGCTAAACTTCTCTCTGTGCTTTGTTATATTTCTTTTGACATTGATAGCTTCTGTTGCAGATGGTTTCATTCTTCACTTGAAATGCATCAATCTGTGAGCATTTTTATCTGGGTATGGCATCTCACAGCTTTTTATGGAGCTTTGGTAAGAAGTTCTTCACTTTTGGACTCATAGGCCTTACTGTTTCAGATCGTTATGCTAGTATTCTTCCTGTGCGCGGCGCGTCTATGTCACCCACCTTCAATCCTAGATCTGATTCCTTTGGGGGATCATTGTCTGGTAATATATTTATTTTATTTTTTATTTTTTGGGTCAAGAATTTTTTAAGAATTTTGTGCTGTGAAGGTAATTTTCATTGTCTGATTATAAGTTTATTTGTGCAGATGATTATGTTTTAGTGGAGAAGTTTTGTCTTGAAAAGTACAAATTTTCGCCCGGCGATGTGGTTGTTTTTCGGTTAGTCGTTTTGTTTTGATATGATGCTTAGAAATATTTATGATTTATTACGCCTGAATGATGCAAATCCAGTGAACTATCATTGCATATGTTTTAAGTGAAAGAAATGTGAAATGATTTCTTCATGTTACTTGAAATGGACCTGTATTGAATGGCTCTTTTAGAATGATATGCTCGATACATTCACCGTGTTCTGCTGTGTGTCACTTGCAAAATTTATGGGTTCTTGACTTCTTGTTATGGGATTGTGTAATCCAGTGATTTTGAAATGTTAAGTGAGATTCATTTTTGAAAGTTGATGAAGCATACTGATGTGAAGTTTTGATGCTTGAACCTGATATTAGTAGTTGCAAATTATTGCAGCTCGCCTCAGAATCACAAGGAGAAGCATGTGAAGAGAATTATTGGTTTGCCAGGTGACTGGATTGGAACTCGCAGTTCTTATGATATTGTGAAGGTCCCGGATGGACATTGTTGGGTTGAGGGAGACAATCCGTCTTCTAGTATGGATTCAAGATCTTTTGGCCCAGTAAGTTCTTCGAAGAACCATATTTATTAATAAAATTTAAAATGGATTTTTATTGGAAAATTATGCCATAGTCTTATTCCAATTAAGAAGCTTTCAATAAAACTCTCATGATTCTTATATCTCTAGGTTCTTAAACGACGCATTTCAATCAACTCCAATAATAGAATCCTTTTCGTTTCTTACTTGATCAGATGGTTCTATGATTGTGGTCCCTAAATTAATCCTCTTTAGGATTGCATTCTAGTGCTACTGCATATATGGAATAAGCATTTTCGGATATTTTTTTTTTTGAATTAATATAGTTTTAAGTAGAATCATTTGTATGATGGAATTCTAATGTCGTTTACCTGTGGAAAATTTTGTCATTACTGTAATGCTGTATTTCCAGTTAGAATCTTTTACAGAAACTCATGATGAAATCTCAAGATTTTTAGTAGAGTATTTCAATCCAACTCCAATAAGTAAATCCTGCTGACTTTTTTTATTTACTTTTAAATGCTTATGGTCACTAATTGATCCTTTTTAGCGTTTTATTCTAATGCCCCGTGTATAATAAAATAAAGTTTTAATTAGCCTTTCTAAGGCTTCTTTTGGGTTAGATGGTTGTAGGTGTAATCAGTTGACTGATTTAGTTGCATTATGGTGTAAAATGTAATCCGTATATGTAACTCACTTAATGAGTTTTCTGCTTTTACATCTTCTTATTTTCTTCCCAAACTTGAGCTCGCTGTTTCTGGCAGATTCCTTTGGGCCTCGTTCAAGGAAGGGTCACCCATATTGTATGGCCTCCTGAGAGACTAGGAGCTGTCAAGGGAAGTATTCGTGAAGACAGACTTTCTTCTTCCTAATCAGGTTTTGGCAGTCGATCCCTTTTTGTGTGAGAATACATATTTTTTCTTAATATTGCTTTACCATTTGACCAAGGCAAACAATTTTTTGGAAATCCCTTGTGTAAGAATACAGATTTTTTTTTTTTTTTTTTAAAGTACAACCATTGAATAATGTCATTTTATCGCCACTTGCATTTTACTCCATTTCATTGGTTTTAATGAGAAGAATAAAAAATTAGTCTTCCGGGGACACTATTTGTACATTATTTATGTTAATTCTCAAGTTTATCTACTCAATGGATTTTTCAATTCAATAACATTGATTTTAATTTCTTGGTGTAAAGTGTGTTGTTTGGTTGTTTGTTGTTTTAATTTCATTAATATTTGAGATGCACAAAAGATATTAATGGTTAAATTAGATTAGGGTTGTATAAGTTTGTGTAGTAATTAAATATTTTATATGAAAAAATTGAGTTGATTAAAAAGCTCAGAGGAGAATCTGATGTGTATTACTCGGCCAAGTTTTGTGTCTTCATGAATAATATCTTTAAATCATTAAAAATTTCATTTACCAATAATTTGTAACATGTAAATACAAATTTTATGCTTCAATAATGCATAACAATAAGGACAGAGAAGGTCATATAACTTATAGCAGCACAAATATTTTATATTATAATAAAAATTCCATCATTTACTTACTGTCGGGATGGCAAATGGGTAGATTAGGGTGGGTCTTTGTTAGGGAAGCAAACACTGCAGCTCATTAGTTAAGTGAACAATGCCAAGTCGGCAGCAGCACATGGAGTTCAGTTGATTATCAAGTGAAGGAAGTTGACAAACCATTAGTTAGTTTCTGAAATTGTATATAAAGAAATCATTAGAAGCTTGATTAATAAAAGTTCTCCTTCTGTTTCTCTTGTTTTCTCTGTGTCAAACTTCAAAGAGCTAGATTTCATTTTCTATTATGGTACAGAGTGGATGGCAAAAAATCAAAGCAATAGCAAAGTAATTCATGATTAAATTGGTCAAAATCATAACTCCAATTCTTCAATAATTTTGAAGAACAGCTCAATTGTTTTCACAACCTCCTTGTATGGCTTTGAGACACCTATCAAGCTTGGTTGAGGAAACTTCAAAACTTGGCGATCTCAAGTCCTGCCTCCAATTAGAGCAAATAATCTGCTCGGTTTCATTGATGGAACAAAATTGAGGAAGGAGTTGAAGTCATTGAGAATCGTGACTTTCTTTTGTGGAATAAGCAGGACATCGTCAAAGAAAATAGTGGAAGAGGAGGTAATGTTAGAGGTGGTCAAAGTAATAGAGGCAGAGGGGGAAGAAATTCAGGAGGAAGATGGGCTTCCAGACCTACTTGTCAAGTGTGTAACAAGTATGGTTGTTCAGCTGACATCTGTTACTACAGACATGAGAGGAACTTTGTGCCACAACAAGTGAAAAATGGAGCAATTCATCAGCCTGGAAATTTTCAGAATGGAAGTTTTCGAAATATGACTGCAAATTTAGTTATGGAAGCAACTTGACTTCTAATGCAGTGTTTACTCCTGGCTAAGGTGATCAGTATCCAGCTTATATAGTTGCTTCAGATGGCGGAGCAAGTAATAGTGATGCGAGCTGGTATGTGGATAGTGGTGCTTTCAGCCATATTACAAATGACATGAACAGTTTACATATTCAGAATGAGTATCATGGAGCAGATAAAGTTACTGTGGGCAGTGGATGGATGCTTTCGATAACTCACTATGGTAATGCCTCTCTTGTCAGTTGTCACTAAAACCTCATATTTACTTTCTTTTAATAGCATACTTGTTGTGCCTAATATCATCAAAAACCTTTTAAGTGTTTCAAAATTAGTGCAAGATAACAATGTTGTTTTGTTTCATGGGAACATATGTCTCATTTAGGACATGAGGGGGATAAGTTCTTCAAGGACTTGCTAAAGGACTATATGAGTTACATTTACCTTCATCACCATACTCATCTTCTCTTTTGACATCTCCTGCCTCATCATAAAAATGAACATTTGCTGTTTCAATGCTTGCTACAGATTGTATGAATAGTTGCTTACCAAATTGTTGATTTCATTGTATCATTATCATTATAATAAGAGGGCAAGTTCTGTTTCATTGTGTTTCACTTCTACTGTTGCTTCTGATTGAACACTCTTACATGAAAGGCTTGGGCATCCAAGTCCTGCCATTTTAAAGCATCGTATTCAAACTTGTAATCATCAGCTGAAAGTTTCTGATTAGCAATCTTCTTTTGACTTCCGTGATGCTTGCCACTTAGGAAAACTTCCTAGGTTACATTTTAATGAATCTGTGTCTAGAGCTAAAGTTCCTTTAGAACTTGTTCACGAAAAAGGTCCACTCAAACGAGGTTAATATCATGATACCTTGCTCGAGCAACTAGACTCAAGTGATTGACTTGAGTGGTTGGACTCGAGAGACTCGAATTTAATGGAATTTGCCCGGGTTTGTTAATCATTTTCCTACAAAAGTCAAATTTTAACCCAATTTGGATCAACATAATTTTTTTTTTTAATACACTAAACATATTTTTAATATTTCATATATCTTTTAACACTAAATTCTTTCAAAAAATAAACCAAAAAACCATAATATTCTACATTTCAATCTTAAATCAAGAGTTTTTTTTTTTTTTTTTTTTTTTTAAGATTTTTATGGAAGCAATAGTATTAATGTGATTAAGTATGAAAAACAGGGATAGAAGTGTCCAAAAACCTTATGAGTAGGATTGTTCAACGAGGCGAGCCGCTTGCGAGTCGACTCAGCTCGGCTCGAGTATGGCTCTCCTTGTTTGGAATCGAGCTAGCTCGACTTGCTTCGTGAGAGAGAATGAGCCGAGTTCAAGCCTGCCTTGGCTCAGTAGGCTCACGAGTCGAGCTAGGCTCGAATTATTAGGCGGGTTTTTTTAAAGTATGGAGGATTAAACAAAATTTCCAAAACAAAAAGTTTGCAAAAATAACAAAAAAAACCTTGATGTTAAAATCCCTAAAACGCGACTGAAACCCATTCACTGGCGAATCCAAAGCAAATCAAACTGAAAACAAGAAGAAGAAGATGGGAGGAAGGGGAGAGCAGTCATAACCAAACAAATCAAGCAAAGTGTTGTTCAAATTTGGCAAACAAGTCAAGATGTCGTTGGGGTTTGGTGTGTTGCCATTTTGCTTCTCTATGAGGTTCCTCTTTTATCTTCTCACTAGGGAACCTTGTTGGTGGTTGGTGTTGGTGATGGCATTGTTTTTGGGTGGACTGTGCAATTTGTTTTTGGTTTTGTCTTTTTTGTTGGTAGTTGGAAGGTGGGACATGCGGCTTTGTTGGTGAGTGCTTTGGAATTATGTTTTTTTTGTTGGTTGTGTCGTGGTGGTGTGGTTCTCTTCATGGAAGGAGGCAAGGCTTAGAGGCTGTTGGACTTTTTGTTCTTGGAGTTTTTGCAGCAGATGGGTGCTTGGCAGGTGGTTGGTGTTAGCGGTTTGGTGTGTGACTTCTCTGTTGGCTGGTCTGCTGATGGTTCCCGGTTTTCGTTGAGCAGGTGTGTGGCTGTGAGAGTGTTTCGTGTGGTCTCTTAGAGGTGGTTTTGAGACGTTGGTGGTTGGTTTTTTTTTTTTTTTTTTTTAAAAAACTGCATTTTTTAAACCCCAATAAAAATGAACAGATGGCAAGTGGCTCCTTCAGTCCTTCTTTGTACTGTGTATTTTGTTTCTTGCAATTTTTTTTAAAATTGTCTCATCCCTCTTTTCTCTTCTTTTGTTGGTTGCTCTCTCTCTCTCTCTCTCTCTCTCTCTCTCTCTCTCTCTCTCTCTCTCTCTATATATATATATATATATATATATATAACTGAAAGCTCCATCCTTATTAAATCTTCTTCACGCAGCACAATGCAGCCCTCAAAACCAAACCAAACCAAAGCCTCTTCTTCTCTTTTTCTTTTCTTTGTTTTTCTTCTTCTGTCAACATGGCTGAGTCAGAATCTTTGAACTCTTTTTCTCTTCTTTGTTTTTCTTCTGCTGTCAACATGGCCGAGTCAGAATCTTTGAACGACGCCGTCTTTTGGTTACCTTCTAAGTTTGAAGATATACTTATCATGGATAAAGAAAACTGCATTTTTTTTTTTTTCTGGCTCGTAAGCCAGCTCGAATTCAGCTCGTTAAACTGGCTCACGAGCCAGGCTTGAACTCGGCTTCCCTTTTTAACGAGCTGAGTCGAGCCAATAATTTTGTACTCGGCTCGAGCTCGTTTTCCTTTTTCTTTTCACGAGCCTAGCTCGTTAAGTCAGAAACTTGACTTGGCTGCGCTTGTAAACAGCTCTATTTATGAGAGGTCTTGCTTACAAAACCATTTCGAATTGGTTGTTTTTTAATTTGACTAGTAGGTTTATCATCATCTAGAACATATATAGAAGTGAAGTCCACGCAAATAGTCATAAATGTCAGCAAAATATTTATAAAATAAAACTCTACAATTTCTGTGCAAATTCTCACAGCCAAATATAATCAATTAGAAAATACTCATATTTTCAATTTTTCACTACGAACAAGTTCATAATCCATAACTTTTACATGAAGATTGTATTCTTCATCAAAAATCTCTTTCAACATTCTGCATAAAGGAAAACAAATAAAAAAGTTAGTATTATAAATTAATTAACTAAATAACGACTTTAAAATGTGATCTATAGTAGATTGTACTGCACCAAAGTTTATAATAAAAGGGTGGTGGTGTGGGAACCTATTAATAGAAACATAAATCTTACATCAAAAACTATATCATGTTAAAATTATGGAATTTAGTTTTAAGTTTTATATGTGTGATAAATTTTCAGGGTTTTGATTTATTATTTTTTTGGAAGGTTTTTAATTTTATTTTTAGGTTTTGAAATTGTTGTTTTTTTGTAAGGGATTTTTATTTTTTGTGTTTGAATGATTTTTGGATGTTTATATGAGATTTTATACAATATTAAAGACTTGACTTGAATAACAATATATGTATGATTATTTATTTTCTTTGTACATAAAATAAAATTATTAATACAATTTATTTGTAAATATAAAGGGTAAAACTGAAATTTTGTTAGTCAAAGTTGGTCAACTACAAACGTTCATTTTGTCTTTTAAACACTAAATCTCGGGATTCAATATTGATTCTTTGCAGTGTTTTTTTTTTTTTTTTTTTGGGCATGTTCGGCCAGTTTACGCGTACTTTCACTAGTCCTTTGACCCTGAACAAGGCTTCTGAAACATTTTTTTTTTTTGTTACTAGGGGTGTCTAGGCTAGCTTATGACACCTCGACTAGTCCTCCGACTCCAAACAAGGCTTCTGAAACAGGGCAAGCCCTGCAGTCAGTGGCCAACAATATTAACAACCGTTCTTGTGATTCAAACTTAAAACTACAGGGAGAGGAAACCCTTTGACCTTAAGCTTTTACCAATCGGCTAACCCATTGTTGGTTGCATTGTCCTTATCATAATTATGATTAATGTGATTATCATCATCATTATCATTTATTATTAATGTCATCACCATATGATATAATATGTATAATTAGCTATAACATTTTTTTGTCCCTGTTTATAATTAGTTTAGTTGATTATATATTTAAGCTATACTAGTTTAATTTCATTGTGTCAAATTTATGTTTGCGATTGGAAATTAACTATTAATATAGACGAAAATAAATTAAAAAATTAACATAGAGTTGCATGGTTTTGTTTACATCCTGAGAAGTAAAGGAATGGTTGGTAAGATTTGTTGACATTCACATTTTAGGTTTAATTTCAAAATATGCTTATTCTTAATAATCTCTTACGTACCGCAGTCTCTTTAAAGACTTTATTTATTTCATCGGTAAAATCATCTACAATTTACAAAGAGAATATCATTAGAGTAATCATGTCAAGATATTATAAGGATTGATTATATTGATTTGTGACTATGATTCCTATATCATAAGATCAAATAATGCTACATATATAAACTTTATATATAAATTATTTATATGATAATCATATATGTATGACATATCAAATATTTTTATTTTATCTCTATTTTAAAGTAATCTAATTATATTAAAGCAGATCATTTGTATGGGTAAGTTCATATAAAAATTACTTTAAAATAAAGCGAAATTACTCAACACCTCCTATTTATGGCTTAAAAACTCTTAACCACGTTGATTTTGGAAAGTAACAAAGTCACTCTCATCTAAGTCTACTGGTGAAACCTGCCACCTGAATTAAGGCGAAGAGTGTATCACACCCCTATCAACCATTTACGATTGGCAACGCCGCCATGTTTGATGCCATTGTTCCATTAATTTCAATGTTTAATCATTCATTAATGGCGAAAATTGAGGGTGATATTGTTATTTTCTGAAATCAAAGGGGTGAGATGGGGTTATCAATATCATTTCAGCTTGAAAATTAAACCCGTATCCCCCTGGTTAAGCAACACGTGTTACCATATGTCATCAGCTTCCTTCCATAGAAACATATCTCTTTTAACTAAAATTGCAGATAGCCTTCAAATAAAATAGCTTTTAAAACGTTTGTTGTGTGGATCAGATAACCCCGTTCATTTGAATTAAACTTTCTTGTTAAAGCTTAATTTTTTTTTTGTTTTTATCTCTAATGAACTATATACCTAGCATTATTTTGGTGCAAACCAAAAGTCGTAATCTCTCAAAGAAAAACGCAACTAAATGTTGAGTTTAAGGTTTCATCTATACAGAGTTTTGTGCTTTAAGTCAACACTTACACTTCCTCTAACATGATGGAACAACGACAAGCTTAGTTCGACGTCCAGTCGATCTCATGGCGGGACGTGGATTTCATAAATATAAATATGAATTATAAAGAGCGATATATAGAGATAGTAAAACCCTTAGTTATCTCTTATAAATATCATTTTTTTTTTTAATACAATTTCTGGCATCTCCTGTGATCGTTATTCCTTGTTATTGTACAACTCTCTGTAATCGAAATCCTTCTCTAATGTTTCTGGGGGTAGTAGATAATAATATATAATATAAACTTAGGTTGGAATCTGAGCATATATTTGGCAAGGTAGGTAGATGAGTTGTTTTTTAAAGGTCAATAAGGTACCTACTAAATCAAGATCAAGTCCCTTCAATGACAATTGGTTATCTTGTAACTTTGGATTTCTCAAGAAAAATTAAACAAACTACGCAATACAAATGAAGATCATGATCAAATGATTACAATTACCATCCCCTAATTGAACCTCAAATTTCAACAATGATAATTAAATTAGAACACTCTTTTAATGCACTATTCTCGTTCTAGAAAGCACATATATAAATGGGTTAATTGGTTTTGGATGGATGGCTTGTATTAAAAGCAAATATTCTTACCTAATGAGTAACAAATAGTCTTGACTTTTATTCAGATGGCAGATATAACTATCAAATATTAGTTAACAATGATGATCAAATTATGTTTACTTTTTTTGTTTATTTTAATCCATTAATCTGGGGTTACTCTCAAATCCCCTCACTTGAGAGAGACATTATTCAAATATATATATATATATATTAACAGATTAATGTCTTTGGCTTTGTGACTGTCCACGTAATTCATATTTGACATTAATTTCTCATATATATATATATATATAAGGTCAATTCTCTATTCTTCTTCAAGAAAATGTGTCTAATTTACATGTCAATTCCGTGTCACATATTCTCTACAACTAACTTGTTTTATAATCATCCAGGGTTAAAATTTCTACCATCACTTGAACTTGTAATTTTCATGATTGATGCTGAGAAAAGAAAAGAGGAAAACCAGTGAAACAAGTTATTTGGATTTAACTAATTACAATCGACATCAGTCAATAATAGTATAACAAATCCCTTCATTATTATTATACAATATGTTACCTCTATTTAAATAAACTATAAACAAACTCATGTATAATTTAACAAACTCTGTTTTTATACAAATACAAATCCTTATATGTATATTTATATTTATAACTCTGAATTTGGCCATGGCTGTGAAGATGCTTGCCTGCAGATTAAAGAAGTATTTACTAAATTTAGAACTTAATTAGAAAAAAATATTAATTAAACTTTAGAAAAGAGAGAAATATACTTACTCTATCAACTCTTTCCAAGCTTCATCGTCCATAAGTTCTCCCAAAGCTTCAAACGTGGTTGAAGTTGATGAAGGATAAGAAATGTTATTTGGGTTCATCTTCGTTTCCGTTTGGTTCACTGCTGAACACTCTTGCGGCGAGGCTGAAACTAATGACGGTAGTTGATTAGAAGTAATTGGATTCTCATATGAAGAATTACCAACAGCTTGTGGTGGAAGAGCTTCCATGCTACCTAAATTTGAAAGAATTTGATTCTGTTCTTGTGGAGCGAAACCGAAAAGGCCATTACCATTTGCTTCGAACTGAGAATAATTCATCCTAAGCAACTCGCTTATCTGATTTTCGCGTATAGATGAGCCGAGAAGATTGAGAGCTTCCAAGTTCGTAGGAGGACTAACACTTAGAACTTGAAGAATGTTATGCAACAACTGGATTTTAGCGAGCTGTGTCGCGTCGGACTGTAACCTCCACGCATTATCCAAAGGAACGTTCATGAAGTTGCTCAAGTTTGCAGCTGCAAGTAACTGTGGAAGATTTGCAAGAATATTGAGATCAGTTCTTGGCTTGTGAGTGACTGGATCAATTCCCATTTGTAAAAGCTTCTTCTTCAGATGGGTATTCCAAAAGTTCTTGATCTCATTATCGGTCCTCCCCGGAAGACGCGTTGCGATCGCGGACCATCTGAAGAATTTAGATATATAATTAATTCTCGCTATTTAAGTGAAGAAATTAATAACGAAAAAAAAAATGAGAATTTTTAATATACTTGTTTCCGAGAACTGCGTGGAGGTTGATGATCATTTGTTCTTCTTCTTCAGAGAATCGTCCTCTCTTGATATCAGGTCTTAAATAGTTCGTCCATCGAAGACGACAACTCTTTCCACATCGATTCAAACCTGCAAGCCTTGGTAGTGCTCTCCAGCTTCCGTGGCCGTTTTTCTGAATGTAATCGACAAGCTTTCGATCCTCCTCCGGTGTCCAGGGCCCCTTCTTAATCCCACTCTCATCAGAACTTGGCGACCTCGCCATCACTAATAATCAATTACTGCACAAATCAAACAAACACAAGATATATAACCAGTTGTGTCACATTGTAAAATTGAGAGAGCGAACAAGTGATGAAACCCCAGAGAGTTTCATTAAAATCACCTTGGATTGGACTGGATTGGAAGAAAATGAAAGCAAAAAAATATCAATGCTGGAAATGCAATAGAAAGAGGGTGCTTAAATAGAGTGTGATTAAGGCCTTAATTAAGTGAAGTTTAGTGTAAAGGAGAAGCATTTTCTCCATATGAGATGTCATTTTGACATATGTTAAATATTTTTAATATAAAGTGACAATTACAAATGTATCCTTTTGAAATAATTAGCTTAAATCAANTCATTATCGGTCCTCCCCGGAAGACGCGTTGCGATCGCGGACCATCTGAAGAATTTAGATATATAATTTATTCTCGCTATTTAAGTGAAGAAATTAATAACGAAAAAAAAAAAAAAAAATGAGAATTTTGAATATACTTGTTTCCGAGAACTGCGTGGAGGTTGATGATCATTTGTTCTTCTTCTTCAGAGAATCGTCCTCTCTTGATATCAGGTCTTAAATAGTTCGTCCATCGAAGACGACAACTCTTTCCACATCGATTCAAACCTGCAAGCCTTGGTAGTGCTCTCCAGCTTCCGTGGCCGTTTTTCTGAATGTAATCGACAAGCTTTCGATCCTCCTCCGGCGTCCAGGGCCCCTTCTTAATCCCACTCTCATCAGAACTTGGCGACCTCGCCATCACTAATAATCAATTACTGCACAAATCAAACAAACACAAGATATATAACCAGTTGTGTCACATTGTAAAATTGAGAGAGCGAATAAGTGATGAAACCCCAGAGAGTTTCATTAAAATCACCTTGGATTGGACTGGATTGGAAGAAAACGAAAGCAAAAAAATATCAATGCTGGAGATGTAATAGAAAGGGGGTGCTTAAATAGAGTGTGATTAAGGCCTTAATTAAGTGAAGTTTAGTGTAGAGGAGAAGCATTTTCTCCACATGAGATGTCATTTTGACATATGTTAAATATTTTTAATATAAAGTGACAATTACAAATGTATCCTTTTGAAATAATTAGCTTAAATTGAGCGATTATCAACTATTAAAACAGTACTAGAGCATCTCTAATGGTGTTCTTTATTTTGAAGAGTATTTTTAATATAAATAAAGAGTATTTTCATTAATTTTTAAATATAAAGAACACAAGTTTTATTCAAATTCAATAAACTTTTTAAATTTAATAAAGATGTTCTTTATTTTAAGAAAGAGATTTAATGGGAGAAATAATTAATAAATAAAATACATAAGAACTTATAGTTTATTAATTAAAATTAGGATAGAGAGTGAAATTTGACTCTTTAAATGTAGAGAGTTAAACTTACTCTCTAATTTATATTTTAAAGATAAAGAGTTTGTTGGACTCTTATTTTTATAGGTAAATTCCTTATAATAAAGAGTTTGAGTCATATAAAGAATCATTTAAAGATGTTCTTATTAGCTAAATTTATCTGTTAGTTAAATATTTGATTGGCTAAATTTATTTGTTAATTAAATATTTGATCACGGTTGATTTGGTGGAAGGTGGCATGTAAGACCAAAGTTTGAGGTATGTAAAAGTAGAAGTAGCCAATGAAAAAGATAAAAAATTTGACAAAATGGTGAACTTTTTGGAACGCCGTGCACCTGCAAGTACACTACTTTATACATCTCGTACCTTTGTTGACATCTATTTCTAACAAACATTAAAATCATATATAGTGAGTTAATTTATCGATGAAGGGTATTTTGGTAAAGAGTGGAAAATACGTAGCAAGATTTCAACCATTGTTGTTCGACAAGGTAATACAGATATAGAGAGTACGTACTCTACTTGCCACCTTCACCTTTCTGTATAACTGAAGAGAGATGGATCAGCATCCAAGTATCAAGAGTAGGTTCCATTTGTCACTCAATCAAAGGGTCAAACGAACTCAATTTTCTTTAGATAAAATCCAGAAGAAACCACCCTTAACAACTATTAATCTCTCTTTTAATTTAAGCATATTAACACACGAAAACTATTCAGTCTTTCTGTGGGTCCTCATCTCTAACCCACTTCTAACGACTGATTTTGATATCATTTTTAATTTCATTTTTATTTTATGTTGGAAAACTTTGGAGATTAAGTTAGCTATATATTAACATCAATTGAGAAATTTTGTCTAAAACTATGCCTTAATTTCTTTAAATATGTACTCTAAATTGAAGAATCTTAATGACTTGCCTCAAAACTTTGATTGAAAGGGGAGGTCAAATATCAAATAATTATGATTTTAGAAGAAGAGAAATCAAATTCAAAGTTGGCTTAGATACAAAGGTTTCAATGGAGAAGAAGAATTTTTTCTAGAAAATTTCCACAGGGGAAATAGCTATCAATGTATAGTGGGAGTGTGATAAATGGATTAAACATGTCCATATATATAATCCTAATTAATCAGACATTTTAAATAGTGATCATAGAAATATTTATGAGTTTATTGATCGGTCAAAGACTCAATAATATTTCCTTTGTGTATTTATGACCAAACCAACACTACTTTATGACTTTATATATTATTGCATTAATAGATAATAGGGAAATGTTGGGTGGTTTTAAGATAAGTATATGAAACCATGTACGCCAAAACAAAACAAAAAAAAAAAAAAAAATGGCCATAAAAAACCTTAAAACTATTAAATATTCTTTTGAATTTACTAAACTCTTCCTTAAAAACATAGAAAAGAACATCTTAAAATAATAATAATAATAAAAAAACCAACTATTAACATGAAATATCAAAAAACCTTCAAATATGATGATATTTAGTAGTTTCCGAAAATTGTTAAGATGCTTAAGATTTAGGGAGTTGCTATTCTTACAAAGAAGCCTACAAAGGAGGCATATAAAGTTAATCTCCACCCTTCATCTTCATCATTTCTCTCTCTCTCTCTTTCTCTTTTTCCGTTTTTCTTTTGTTTTTTCCTTCACTTTGTAAGCTACTTTGTAAACTTCTTTGTAAGGATAGATTTATCCTAAGATTTAATGGTCTCAGGGGCGCATGAAATAACGCTATGAAAAAAAAATACCAATTCAAGATTTAAGGAAAATAATAATTTCTAACAAAATAGAAGATTTTCATACTTTCTAATTTTTTCGACCATTTGGTGTCATATTTTCTTGCACTACAAATAATAACATGACGGCATGCATTTGGATAAGAACAAAAATTTAGTCAACGAAGAATGGGAAATGGGGTGACAGTTTAGTCTTAGAGAATGGGTTATTACATCCTTTGACAAGTTATGGGAGAAAATTAATTATTTATTTCCCCCTTAATTAAAACATAATGAGAATAGAATATGTGAAGTGGGTTGAGGTGACAACAAGGGCCAGAGGGAGTTGTTTGCATCCTTTGACAAGTTAGGTTCCTTAGTTTGTCCACTGCCTCCCCCCAGAAAATAAAACAAAATATATTTATTAAAGTCAAAGGGTTTTCTTCCACATTCATAACGAAAAATCCAAGTTTAAACAGCATTTGAGAGATTTTTACGTAAAAACAGAAAATTAATTAAACAAAATGACAAGATTAATTATTTAGTAAATTGCAAAATTGGTGTAGCAGCCCAGCCGCCTCTAATTCTTTCCCAATTCAGTGTCTCAATAGATTTTAACATCATCATCATCATACCTGAAATTTTGGACCTATTGATTTGTAATTAATTTAAATATGGTTTTCAAATCTTTTAGATGAAACAATCTTCAACTAATCTTTAAGTGTCGCAATTGCACAGTTCATCTTCCTTTCACCAAACTCCCCTTTTAATATATATCGGATGTTATTTGTTGCCTGTTCTTCGTATTATTTATTCCTTTGTTTTTATATTACATATCGGCTCCAATCCTTCATCTTCTTATAACCAGATGAAAGTTGATTCATATCATCATTTGCCTAAGACATCAAAGATTCAGAAGGACTTCAGCTAAAATGAGACAGGATGGGTTGTTATAATTTTACCTTAGATAGAAAATTATCATTGATTTATATATGAAAAATACTTATATATGTCAGACGCCGCAGATAGTTAATATATGACGGCACTAATGAATTTCGTCAGAACATTAACTAATAGCAACATTGTTAAGTTAACAATTCTACGCAAATATGTTAATATCTCCGACAAGATGTTGTTAATTTTTAAATTGATAACAATATTAATATCATAACGTCTTAACTAAAATAATTTAGTTATACATATATATTAATTTTTCTATATATAAAACTTTTAATATGATAATATAATGAGCCAGTTCTAGGCTTGGGGTGGCCACAGCCACCCAAGACCTGAGGCTGAGGGTGGCTTCGCCCCAAAAAGATCCTTAAAATATATCATTTCTTTTTGTAAGAATCGATTAATAAATATCACATTATGTAAGAGCCGATGATTACTAGATCTTAAACCTCTATATGCTATATGATTATTGATGTCGTCATTGCATGCATGCACGCTCAATACTAAATAAAAAAAATATAATAATTCTTTTTACATAAAAAATGGAGGATCTGAATTTTTGAACACCTAATTCTCCATTAAAAAACTTCTGATCCAACTTCCCAAACCAGAAATTTGATACTTTACGTATCCCAGTTTATAAAATATTGAATTGAAATCCAAATTAAGACTAGCTTGTATACATATACGTATATAAAATTGTAAGGTCTTTTTCTCTTCTTCTTTATTAGGTGATAATGTCCAGTACTTGATTTGAAAAGGGAAAAAATTAAAACCACATGCAATATTTTTTTTAATTTTTCATTGTTTTAAATTATCTTCACTATACTTGATTTGTTCTTTAATCGAGTAATTCCAATTTGCATGGAGTGGCAAAGCATGAAATTGGAAACAAATTTAAAAAATGAGATTAAATATAATAACAAGTATTAACGACAAGAAAAAGGAAATAATTACGGGTAAGCTGCCAAATAAAATAATAACATGTTCCCTGAATTTTGAATTGACTGCAAAATTAGGAATTCAATTTAAAAAACAGAATCTTTCATTGGTCGTCATCGTATCTTTCTAATAATTATTCAGATTTTCCATTAATAATACTGGTCGACCATTCAAATACCCTTCATTTCATGCTATATTATATATGATTATGGCTTATATTATTGCTGCGAGAATACTACACATTTAACAAGATTTTGCATCCTATGGTCCTTTGAGAGTTTGTCTAAATTTTAAATGATTTTGTGATAGTTATCCATTGATATTTATATTGAAAGTATTGTGAAGCCAAAACGGAGCCGTTCAAAGTATATTCAAGCCAAAACGGGGTCGTTTTGTTTAAGACCATTACCGAATTTCAGCCGTCAGATCAAGACAGATCCAAGGGCTGAGAATTACGAACACAGAACTATATAAAGAAGAGCAACAGTGATCAGCGTATACGAATTGTTCATTGTCAATCGGGGTATTAGGGTTGAGAGAGGGAAATACTGGGGTGGTTTCTCTGCTGAATCTTTTTGGGTTAACTGGTTAGTTGAGAGAGGGTTGCGTTTCTTTCAGAGGCTTGTATTTGTCCTCTGTTTCTTGCAGATTATAGAAAGATTAGTGAGTGATTAGGCCTTGGTTGGGTGTTAGTCTGTTTCGGCAGATTTGTGTCTTATCCTTCTTGCAATCGGTAAATATCTTCTTAGTGCTGTGAGTGCGTATTTCGGAGCTCAACTTGGATGTAGTCTATTCAAGATTGAATAGAGGAACCACGGTAAAGTCGTGCCTTGTGTTGTGTGTGTGATTCTTTGATCGTTAATCTTGTTTGTTGTTATTCTTTTGTGAATTGCTTGTAGGCTAGGTTATAACATATAAAAATTAAAAGGAATAGTTTGAGCTTAGTATATAGTTTACTAATTAAATAAAAATAATGATGGATATCTTTAAATA